GTGCAGTTAATCTACATGAAAAATACAAGCTTGTCCTTTCTCCTGCAAGGCTAATATCTGTCCCAACTTGTGTTGAATTGATCTTCTTGTTCGTTCCAATGAGTTGAAGGTCTTTTTATGAAAGTCATAGAGTGATTTTCATTCCAGCCATGATATGAGAGAATTGAATTTACTTAGCCTGCTAAACAATCCTTTTGTAATGAATTGATTACTTTTCAGTTGTACCACTCGTGTGCTGGATGGAATCAGACCTATCCGGCTCTACATCATAGGCCCTATCCCCATATTGCTAATGGAAATGGAGTGAAATCTGAGTCCCATATAAGTCTATGTGAGTTTTGCCATTTACTCCAAAAGGGCCAGAATTTCACCCATTATTCTTTAGTTCAAATGGTGTAGCGGTGTGTGTTTTGTGGAGGATCTCAGGCATTGCCCCCCTTAGACTTCTGAGTGGCTACAGTGTACAGCATAATGACAAAAATATAGTCCTAGTTGGCTGAAGATTGTTAATGCTGTGCTTTGTTGCTAAGGTGTGAAATAACATGGTATGTCACTAATGTTTGCCACATCTATACGTTTATGAGAGATTAGAATATAAGTGGAAGATATGAACCTAGTGGGGAAAAGACAGGAGCAGTGTCAATAGGTAAATGCTGTTTCATATTCTTTGTGTTATCAGCATAAGAAGCAAATAAGCAATTTGTCTGCACAGAAACTGATAATAAATGAGTTTTACAATGTTTTGTAAAGTGAGCTAAACAACAACATCCAGCAACACAATGCATGCCAGTGGAACAAGCGGCAGTGAAAGCAGCCCAGGCAAATATGTACAATAGATTATGATTCATCCAAGAGAGTATGAATGGAAGAAGATTACTTTGTTGTTTCAGCTGGGTCTGAAGGCCGATTGGGCCCAGAAGGATAGTTCATAATCTTCTTCATTCTGTCTAAATGGAAAGAGCTAATGAGAGTTTGTTGTATTTGCTTTGCCTTCCAATGTCCTGGTGAAATGGTCTGCATCTGAGAATGCAGGAGTGTTCAGAGTTAGAATTCAACAGCTTGCCTTTTCCACAGTAGTATATTGCAATGCCAGGATGCACTTAAACTAATGTTGCAGTGAGGTTCCACCCACGGCTTCTGTCTCCTTAAAAATGCCCTAAGATGGTTAATTCATGAACACACTTTTCCTGTGGGCAGCTGCCAGTTGAGCTGTATATTTTCCCTTTAAACTTTGAACAAGAGTCATTCTTCCTTTCAGTGTCTGGCAAGCATTGCACAGGAGACATTAGCTCCTTCTGCTTTGGTTTTCTCTATCTGGCTGTGTGGTTATCATTGTTTAAATCATTCATGATTAAAACAAGCAGCCTAAATAACTGAGACTGGGAATACTGGATTGAGATAATAGCTACTTTTTTAAGGGGAGAGATTCTTGCATAATCAGCTGCTTTCCACTATATAGTTTCCCTTCTCCCATCCTCAAGCTCCTTTGTCATTGCAACCCTCGCTCTGAGGATTGCCAGTACCTCCCTTCAGAGACAATCAGCATTTACCTAAGTATTGTCTGGGGCCAGGATTCAGAAGGGATGCAAGGTTCTCCTGCCATCACCTTTCACACCCTGTGCCCTGACTCATGGTGTGCGGCTTTTGCAGTACTGCCTTTCCACTAAGTAATACACTTTAGACTACATGATGGAGTAGCTCTCCTTTGAATACCTATGGTGTTGTTTGGTCATTTAATTACTAACTGCTGGACTTTAATGTAACACACTGGACCTTGATGGGTGTATGTAACTAGCAGTTTTAACATCCTACATTAATAATAAATATTGAGATGGGATCTGCCATAAAAGATGCATTTACCAAAACCTTGGTCCGTAAACATTTTACATACTTTATAAAGAAATAGTAACTAACAAAAAGCAGTAGCCAGGGTAGGTCCAGTGACGTTCACTAAGGCCTGGTCTACACTGGGGGGGATTCATCTAAGATACGCAACTTCAGCTACGAGAATAGCGTAGCTGAAGTCGACATATTTTAGATCGACTTAGAATCACTTACTTCACATCCTCATGGCGCGGGATCAATGGCCACCGCTCCTCCGTCGACTTTGCTTCCGCCTCTCGCCGAGCTGGTGTTCAGCAGTCGACGGGAGAGCGATCAGGGATCGATTTATCGCGTCTACACTACACGTGATACATCGATCCCTGATAGATCGATCGCTACCCGCCGATCTGGCGGGTAGTGTAGACGTACCCTAAGAGTTGTACAAAATGTGTATGTAATTAGCTTCTCTAAAATAAAACTGTATGAAAGCTTCAACAAAAAGTTAGTGCTACCCACACTATCAGGAAATACATTTTCCCTTAGGCAGCATCTCAGATGTACTAAGAGTGAACGTGGGCTAGGAGCCACAATCCTTTAGGACTATTTCATAATCCTTTAAATTAATGAAAGGCATCCTTAAATTAACTACTTCTCTTGCTGGTTGTAATATACTGCAGCTATTTCAGAAAACAGTTACTGTGAACCTTTGTGTCTTGATTTCTACAGCAAAATCTTTTAAAGATGCAGAACAGCTTGTGGCAAACAGAATTATGGCATGTTTAATTACAAACTGTTAATGACTTAGTAACCCTTCTCATAGTATTGTAAAACTTGCCACTTTGCCTGTTCACCTCCTTGTGGCCTGCAAACCTTAGACTTTCACTTCACAAACACTTCCAATTCACATTGAAATAGGTGCCAGACAGAGCACATCTGTAGATTTGGCCAGGTCATATCTTGAACTGTAGCGGTAGACTTTGTGAATCAGAAGACAAGCAAAGGTTGAAGCCATTTCCCTCTGAGAACAACTTCAAAATCCCCTTTTTTAAACAAAAAGAAGTTTTCCATGGCACTTACTCACAATATGTTTCCAGGAAAATTATCCAAAATAAATATAAGCCAAGATTCCAGTTCTCAGAAAACCAAAAAAAAAACAACCCCTCAGACATATTTCCTTTTTGAGGCAGAACATATATGCTAAGCAAGAAACAATAACTTTACTTCCATATTATACTGATTTAAATATTATATTGATGCATTGTAAACCAGTCAATTAGCATAACACTGGCTATTATGAACCAAGTATCCACTTAGAATTGTACATGATTGGTTAAGATTATCAATGAAACATAAACTGAATTTCATCTAACTTTAGACCATTCAAACCCAATCTTGAAAGTCACTCAATAAATCATCTTAAGGGAATGTTTTTGCAGCGTGAATCTTCTGCATTTTCTTAAGGTTGTATTTTTAAAAGCTTGTCTGTTTGCTACATAGAAAGAAAATAAAAATAGACACTTTAATAGAGTGGGCCCCATTCTCATACCAATTGTTCTTCACTGGTGGCAATTATAGTGTACTCCAGAGCTAATTATTCCTAATGGAACCATGTAAGTTGGGGGAACCATTTTAGGTCAAATAAGAATGGACCCTTCACTGAAAAAGTGAACCAAACTTTTTAGGAAGATTGAAAAAGTTTGGTTAATGAAAAAATCAATATCGTGTGCCACTGACCCAAAAGAGTCTCTTCTTCCAGAACCTCATTTTCTTATCCCTGCAAATGAAAGAGATTCTCTATCAAGTTTGCCAAATGTTATGGTCCATAAACTTCTCTGGGTCACCCTACCCTTAGAAAATACCTACTTCATGGCTCCAATAACTCCTAAATCAACACTTTATAAGTTGGACTGAAGGAAATGGGTAGTTGTCCAAACAAACACTTCACATGGCTTTCAGTTGAAATTGCTACTCTCTGGAGTATAATCACATACTCGTGGAAACTGGAGTTGGAGAGGATCTGTTATGTCATCCAGTTCACCCTCTGCCAGTGTGTGATTGTTCTCTACAGTGTATTTTTTAGTACTATGGCCAATCTAGCTTTCAATCTCCCAAGAGACGCTACTTGTATCACTTTAGCAATTCCTGCCAACCACATGTGCCTTCTCTTGACTCTGGCTGGTTTGTGAAAAGGGTAAAGGATTTGGAAGGGTTCTTTTGAAATTCAAAACACATCCAATATCTTTGGGATAAATCATGACTCAAAAAGGCCGCTACTCACACTATTTAAACCCTGCAAGATCTGATTCATGTGGCCCACATGAACTGGGCCTTGCATGGCTTGGTCTTAGGGCTGGTAATAGAATAAACCTTTCAGACAAACTTAGAGGGTCTAAGGAATCTATAGACTCCTCCCTTTTCCTATCCGACAATCCCAGTCCCTCTTAACATAACTGCTAGTGTCTTCAGGGGGTGATAGAGGTTGGGGGATGAGGGTAACACTGAGTGAACAACCTCTGCCCTGATTCAGAAATGCCTACACCAAGGTTGATGTTTATCACTTACAAAAGATCCCAACATCAATGAAATTCTACCCCTGAATTGGATTTGATTTAGAGTATACCCTTTACCATCCTCGGAAGGGGCCTGAATGTATGTCACCAAGATATCATGGAATTTCCTATTCTCCTTTCTCTGAGGAACGATCTTCCTGAACAGTAGGACATGGCTGCCCTTTTCAGGTTGGATGCACACAGTCAGTCCAAATGGGGAGTTCTCGCTACCCCTGCAGTTTTTATTCAAGGTGTTTCACCACTATGTTACAGAAGATAGTTGATAGAAAACTAAAGACCTTGCTCATTGGCTTCCCCACCAATGGAGAGGATGCCTCCTCCACCTAGTGAGTGCATTGTTCTGACAATTTGGTTCCTATTTGAGACCTTGGGGATATGGGAGGTTTCAGATATTCCTTATTTGGCCTGTTGCCTATTGATTCCCTATGGATTGCTTTGTAGAGATCCAGAAGAGCCAATATAGGTTACTATTACTGACCGTTCCATGGAGGTTGAAGAGCGAGAAGGCCCTCACATTGAGCTGTGTCCAAAGTTTGTGTGCTTGATCAAATGGAAACAATGTCAGGATTGAATATTAAAAGCCAGGTGTTCCTTTTACTTTTTCAGGAAGTCTGAATGGCACGTGCACCTTCGGAGTGGGATCCTGACAGAGAAACTACTTCTGAAGAAAAGAGAAACTTCCCCATGTGGCTGTACATCATTCAGTGTCATGAAGAATCATCCCTTTCTTGAAGACTGACCCTTATATAGTGAGGTAGCAGGGTGAGTAGGAAGACGTCAACATTTTGGTATGAGGAGTTCTATAGCCCTGACTCAGTGTTATTCTGATGTCAGGAAAAGATAAACATGACTAACTGTAGAAGAATAGTATGACATTATTTCCATAGTGTATAAAAAATATTGTCTATAAAGGGTTCAATCTCAAATGAAGTTCTTCATTTATATTGCAGCTGATAACATATAAGATCATGCAAATATTTTTGGAATTTGCCGTTTAAAAATATTTTTGTTTTAATATAACTTATTTAACGCTCTCTGGGCTTGATCCTGGTGAATGGTAGAGCTGATCAGGAATTTTCTGACAGAACATTTTTGTCAGAAAATGCTGATTCAGCAGAGTAAAACCTTTTTGCGGAAACTTTTCAGTTTTGATGAAACTTTGGTCAGGAAAGTTACTGAGGTCCAGGATGGAACTGCTGGTCTGAGGGAGAGTGAGACATGCATGCCAGAATCACAAATAGCTCAGAGAACTCACCTTGAAGTTTGGAGACTTAGGTTCAAGTCCCTGCTGTGCCTGTTTTGGATCAGGCACTTGAAACTGAATCTCCCACCTCCCCGGTGAGTGCCCTGACCAGCTGGCTATATTGGGTGTTCTGAGATGGGTTTCTTTCCCTCTCTTTTTCTATGAACATTTTCTAAAGCTCTTGGTTCATGCCCAATGCCAAATGAAACCAATGCCATAACCTCAACATAGTTTGCAAAACAGAATTTCTGTTTTCTTCTCGTCTTACTGAATGGCTTCAACTGCCACTATACTTCCCTGTCTGTCGGTCTCCCCCACAAATAAGCCGTCCTATCAATATATGATTTATAAAAGAACAAGCTTTAGTATATAAATTTGGAAATCTTTATCTCCTGCATACATTTGTAATATATAGTTATTGGTCATTTAAATATAGAACATAATTACAAATTTAAGGGATTTGCAATAGTAAGCAGTCAGTTTCTCATTTTTTTCCCAGGCTTTTACAAATCATTCTGCTATCTAATCAAATGTCCACAAACCTATTATGAACACAGACTGATACAAACCAAATATCCAAACCCTAATATTAGCTAACCATAACTCTAACGATTCAAGTTTCTTTCTACATAAATCTTCTGGACCTAATTCACAGAAAAGCATCTATACATATCAATTTCCTTTGGACTTTATAAATTTTACATTGTTTGATTCATTTAAGTTTGAAATTTTGCTGGATGAAATGGAACCTTGAAGAGTATCATGTGTTTCCAAAATTCAGGAGATTCAGAATGCTTTATATACAACAATGAAATGTGGAAGAAAGTACAAGGGGACAAAAGATGTTCTTCACTTGCTGCAAGAAGAAAAGTTTATGGAAATTGTAGGGAAGTGGGAATACAAACTTTTTGATCTGTTGTGTGCCCACAATATTTTTGTAGAATTTTTGTGTTACTCTGATAGGACTTGAACATTTGGTGTGAATACCGGAGAACACATTTGTAAAGATTCTGTAAGATTTTGTAAACATGGCCTTTCATTTCATTTGGTAGAACCTACGAAAAATAAGCATGAAAAGAGCCCAGCATTTATTATTAGGATTTTTGGTATTTAACAGCTTGGTGGAAGGAGGTGAATAGATTGGTAGCAAAAATTTGCTGATGTCAAGTTTATTTAGTTTAGTCAAGACTGTGAGGAGCAGCTGGCTAGGTAATTTGGCAAAACAACCAATGATGATCAGTGTTGAGAATGCCAAAATGATGCATTATGGAAAGGAACAATTTAAACTACTCGCACATGCTCATGGGGTATGAATTAGTCATCTCCTTTCCAAACATAGGGATAGACATCTTAGTGGATGGTAGGGCTCTAATAAATATTTGAAAGTAAGTAGTTGTTCATCTAAGTACCTATTTGCATATATCAACACAGATTTTACATATACAGTGGGTGCACAAACTAAGTTTGCAGGTATAGGCAGCCAGTTTAAAAATTGGTCCAGAAATCTCAGCAGATCATAGACTGACATTTTTCTAATTGAAAACTGGCATGGGATATTTTCATTTTACAAGATCACAGGAAATGGTGTTCTATCGATATTTTCATATAAAGTAATCAGCGGGAGCCCTGTGCTTGTGGTATTTGAATAGGAAACATAAAATAGGAGCATCAAAGGGGTAGAAATGAAAAAGGGGGAAAAGCTGAACAGAGATGTGCTGCCTGGATTTTCACAGGATGTGGGCAGGGAATGGCCAAGGAGCACTGAAGTGGCAAATAAGCTAGAGATTTTTCAAAGGGGCGGGGCCCTTTGGATGTACACCAGGAAATGTCAGCTTTCAATTTTGGCTGCTCTGGAATTCAGAGGAATTTTCAAAGCTGAGAGGGCGGGAGTTCTGAAAATTTCCCACCCTTTGTAGTTGTACCCAACTTGCCTGTGCACCCTAACTCCAGCTAGCAGGATTGTCCATATCAGCTATCCAATTAGTTAACAGTGCCCAGACACAGCTTTGTATACCTCTGGTGAAACACAAATTTCCCTCACCTGCTGTTGGCACCATGCACTAAACAGCAAGCCAGGCCGGGTCCATGTGATGACAATTGCGTAACAGAAAGAATCCACACAAATCCAGAAAATATAGTAGACATTAGAAGTTCCAATACAGCCAGATAAGTAGGAGAAATCCCTGATATCACTCTGTTCTGCATTCCCTTGCTCCTTAGAAATCCATTCTACAACATGACCAATGAGTCATCAGACAGCTTTGCATTCAAGTTGTTTAAAAGAAATATTCTAACCAACATAGTGGTAGACTTTAAACACAGCGTGACCTTCAGCAAGGTTAGGGGTAGGAGAGCTCTACCCGATACATTCAAAATTCTTCTGATTCCATGGATATACCAGAAATCTGCTTATTTCTGTACTGAGGATTGGCTAAAATATTAGAAGGAAGACCAACAATTTTATGCTCCTGACATAAAGGGGGTGGCTCTTATTTCTTTTCAAAATCCCACTGGAGTGGCTAGCCACTTTCCCATATCCCACTCCCAAAGTTCACAGAGGACTTAGCTGGGTGTGGAAATACCTTGGGCACCCAACATTGCGTAGAGCCAATGGAGCATGCACAGGCCAAGCTCTTGAAAATACTTCCCGGGCCATGTACAAAAGAAAATTTGGATCAAAATATACGACACAAATTATAAAACACAGGAACCAGGATCACATGGTGGCAGCTATGTGTTTAAAGAAAATGCAAAAACGTGGTTGGAACTGGGGACAGATTTTTTGAGATAAGGAGATTCAAGGTTCAGACATACTAGGCAAAGTTGTTTCAGTAAAAAAAAGAAGTTGGCAAAAAATGGCACTGTGGAGGGAAAATGATATAATTAGGCCAAAAAAACCCACAGAGATAGCAAATGTGCTATTAGTTAACAAAGAAAAAGTATCTGTCCAACATATTACACTGGTCTACAATTTTTTAGAAGTCGTCTGCTTCAGAGATAAAATGTGCTATTTATTATGTATTTTGATGTGCTGAATTCAAATATGACAATTAAAACAACGGATTGGCTACTGTTTCTAAGATATTTAAGTTTTTACATTTTATGTCTATGTATATTGTGTAGATAGTAGAGTTTTAATCATAAATTGTAAACCTAGGTCTTTTCATGTGTTTATGGTTGCTTTACATGATAATATTTCACCTGTCCTGTTTATGTAACACTTTAAAAATCAGCAAAAGGGTTATATAAATAAAATTTATTATGAAACAAAAGGCAAAAAACTATTCTGTACATAGTTTAGTCCTATTCAGTGTCTACTTGGCGCTTCTTGGCTTGTCTCTTGTATTCATTAAATGGAGCATCTCTTGTCACTGTCCAGCAATAGTCTGCAAGCATTGATGGGCTCCATTTGCCCTGATAGTGTTTCTCCATTGTTGCAATGTCCTGGTGAAATCGCTCGCCGTGCTCGTCGCTCACTGCTCTGCAGTTCGGTGGAAAAAAATCTAGATGAGAGTGCAAAAAATGTATCTTTAGTGACATTTTGCAACCAAGGCTTTTGTATGCCTTGAGGAGGTTTTCCACCAACAACCTGTAGTTGTCTGCCTTGTTGTTTCCGAGAAAATTGATTGCCACTAACTGGAAGGCTTGCCATGCCGTCTTTTCCTTGCCACGCAATGCATGGTCAAATGCATCATCTCGAAGAAGTTCACGAATCTGAGGACCAACAAAGACACCTTTCTTTATCTTAGCTTCACTTAACCTTGGAAATTTTCCACGGAGGTACTTGAAAGCTGCTTGTGTTTTGTCAATGGCCTTGACAAAGTTCTTCATCAGACCCAGCTTGATGTGTAAGGGTGGTAACAAAATCTTCCTTGATTCAACAAGTGGTGGATGCTGAACACTTTTCCTCCCAGGCTCCAATGACTGTTGGAGTGGCCAATCTTTCTTAATGTAGTGGGAATCTCTTGCACGACTATCCCATTCGCAGAGAAAACAGCAGTACTTTGTGTATCCAGTCTGCAGACCAAGCAAGAGAGCAACAACCTTCAAATCGCCACAAAGCTGCCACTGATGTTGGTCATAGTTTATGCACCTCAAAAGTTGTTTCATGTTGTCATAGGTTTCCTTCATATGGACTGCATGACCAACTGGAATTGATGGCAAAACATTGCCATTGTGCAGTAAAACAGCTTTAAGACTCGTCTTCGATGAATCAATGAACAGTCTCCACTCATCTGGATCGTGAATGATGTTGAGGGCTGCCATCACACCATCGATGTTGTTGCAGGCTACAAGATCACCTTCCATGGAGAAGAATGGGCCAAGATCCTTTTGACGGTCACGGAACATGGAAACCCTAACATCACCTGCCAGGAGATTCCACTGCTGTAGTCTGGAGCCCAACAGCTCTGCCTTACTCTTGGGTAGTTCCAAATCCCTGACAAGGTCATTCAGTTCACCTTGTGTTAGGAGGTGTGGTTCAGAGGAGGAGGATGGGAGAAAA